GGGGGGGGGGGGGGGGGAAGTAACATTCAGTTTTCTTGTAATCACCTTAAACATGAGCAAATTGAACACAGAAACCATTGCTCCCGAGGCTGAAATTGCATAAGAATCATTTTTGGATAAAGCTACACAAGGTGAAACTGCTTCTTTGTCACTGCTAGGAAGACTGTTGGTCATAACCACACCGTTCCGTGGTTGCCATAGTTGAGGTTTGCATTTTGTTGTCGTCTATAGCAATAAACATGTAGGTCAGCTGACAAATGTAAAGTTACCCGATGAAAATGATGGAAACTCTACGGAAGATAATGTTAAGCAAGGAAAAGTTCTGAGAGTGGACTGGAGGAAACTAGCTAATAGTGCACAAAGGAGACATATGTGAGTCAATTTGGTCAAACTCTTTTACCTGGCCACTCAAATTAGAACCACTTTTCGACCATCTCCAGAGCAGATGAATACCATCTGCAACTAAGGCCAAAAGCGCATTTCCTGCATGAGTATACATCAACCTCCATACCTGAAATTGTTGAAAGAGATTTCAATAAGAAGTTCCCTAATTTAAGTGCTGATTTTTTCCGCAGAAATCAAATGTTAGCAGAAGTACAAGATTTTTCCGTTAACTTAAACCTTATAATTCTAACAGAAGTAAAAAAGGAGCTTGACATAAGATTATTCTAATAGAAGTAAAAAAGGAGCTTGACATAAGATTACTCTTTTTAGGCCATAGGTAGAGTGTATTCATGGAAGAGCTTTTGGTAGAGCCATTTAGGAATTAAAACGACTTTTAGATCCTCAAGCAGTTCCCATAATTATCAGTAAGAGTGCCAAAGGATATTTTAAAAAGCCTAAGCACTTGTCACTGATATTATGAGATTTTTCTTTGATCAGTCATATTATGAGATTTTAAATTTTCAAACATTGACATTACACATGATTTCATACCCTGTTCGTCTTCACTTCTGAGGGAAGCCTCAAAAATTGACATCGTGAAACTTGGACGACCTTAGAGATGCTTTGAGTCCCTAATATCTTGTGAGGCTCCATATTTGCCAGGTTATCTGCTACTTTTTCCTGCACAACACTCTATCAGTTTGACAAGTCACTGCAATTGCTACCTCTATAATTTGGTTTAATAGGTTACAAAAAGGGAAAGCTGATACACAGAGATGGAATTTCACTACTCACCGGAGGAACAGTGCAATCAGTTGAACTATTATTAGAAGGACCAACAAGGGAATAGCTTGCAAGCTGTGGACAAGCAACAAAAACTAAGCACACTTTATTTATTTATCTTGAGGGACATTATCAGGTTTGACATGCAGACCTTTCTTATAGAATCTGATAGATATCTAGAGGCATCCGACGAAGTCTGAAGCAAAAAGCGGCCACAATCATTTGCCAAGATTTTGATCCTGTTATGATCCGCAAAGACAGCCAATAGAGTGCCTTTCTTGTTGAATCGAATATATGGACTTGCCTTGAGAAAGAATATGAGAATTTCAGACTATGACATACGTCAAATGCAAGTACAATTAAAACAAGCTAGTTGCATAAGCATGTACTTATTTCAAACTTGATACCGTCCTCCTCATTTCCTTCTTGTTTTTACTTAAGTATTTGCACTTGAAACATTGAGTTATCTTAGTGTCAACTTCACCAATAGAAACAAAGGGGAGAAAAGGTACATCTGCTAGGATTCTGATTAAATAATTATAGCTAGTAGGGTACATACAGGTAGGTCTCCACCAGCATCGACAACTGTCAACATTTGAGCGTCATTTACATTCCAAACTTTGATTACATGGGCATCTCCAGCTGCCAAATACTTATTGTTGCTGATGTCGAATGGTACAATACCCAAAGAAGATTTGCTAACTCCGGTGTAGTTCCTTTCTATGTAACCTTCAGTTTCATTCCATTCCACAATGTGTGAGTCTCTATCTTTATTCGTCCCGCACGAAAAAAGCCTACAATCTTCAAACTAAGTTTAACTAATCCTTCCAAATAAACCAAAAAAACAAAGCAGAAAAAGAATGAGATAAGTGCAAGAGTTTGGTCAAATCACCTTTTACCATCAGCACTATAAAGCATTCTCATGCAACAATTACCAGGAGCCTCATAAGAAACCCGTGGTCCCAAGTTGTCAAATAACCATGCTTTTATTTCAGCATTAGTTGATGTTGAAAATATGAACTGAAGGCAGAAAATTAATCAGAATGTTTTACATACTTGATAAAAAGCAACAATAACAGGTTTTTGCAGTATGTAGAAATATGATTACATGAACATCTTCCTTCGCATGAGCACAAAGAGAGTAAACAGGGGCTCCATGACCTTCAAAAGTATATTGTTTAGCACCAGTTATAGTATTCCAGACCTTCAAATAAAGCAGTTAAACATTAGCCAATTTCTCTGTCACGACTCAACTTTTTCACCAAGAACACCAAATTTGAGAGTTAATTCATTCAACATATAACAAACCTGGATCAACTTGTCCTCACCACAGGTTACGAGTAAAAGTTGGTTGTTTGGCTTAGAAAATGCAAGATCATTTACACTGCCATAATGAGCCTCAATCTGAGAAAGTAAAATCTCAATTAGAAACTAAGCAAAGGACAAATACAAACACAAGCAAAAAGAAGCAAAGGACAAACTTAAGAAGAGATGAATTCTCAGAAAATATACCTCGAGATGTTTTTCAGCATGATTGTTACTACTATAATAAGAATACAGTTGAACAATGCTTTTGGAGTATGCAACCCCTGTTCATTGGTTCCAAATTTAAAGCATTATTAGCAAACTGAGCACCAAAGTCAGAATAAAAGTTCCTTTACGGATACAGATATATGAAGAAATACCAAAGAGAGAGCCATCAGAACTCCATAGGATTCGAGTGACTGAGATAAGCGGATCTTCATTTATATGTACCTGAATAATGACGAAAACTATCTTTAATTACAGTACAAACTGATCTTTCATTTTCAAATATCTGTTATAACCGGTCATACCAGAAACGCAGTTGAAACAGCTTCCACTTTCCAGAGCATAAATTTTCTTGAAAACAACTTTTCCTCAGAACTAACGTCCCACAGCTCTATGCCTCCAAAACTGTTTCCAACTGAAAAAAAAAACATCGTCACTAGCAATGAGCTTCAGGATTCAGAAACTTTATCGCTAATATATCAGTTTGCGAACTATAAATTCCTGCTCAATGAGAAACCTAGCAGAAGAGTCTGTTGAACAGGGTGAAAATCCATTGTGGTTGGAGAAGAGCCGATGTTTAAAACACGTCCGACTGCCTTGGGAAAGTCATCAGAGAGGCTAGACGACACAGCCTGTTTTTGACAAGTAACACCTGTGGGTAACACCTTCTGCATGAATATAAGTACATGGAATTCAAATTTAACAATAGCCAACTAAACCATCAAATGAGGAACGTGCACAATCACCTCTTAAAAATGGGGAGAATAGAATAACTATGTGGGTTCAAAGTACATCACCTCATTCATATTCCTTGTAGAGCTTACATCATATAAATTACCAGAATCCTGAACAGCCTTCAAAGTAGTAGCTAACAAGAACAGCCAACATGAAAAAAGTCAGGTAACACACGCGACGGTATTGTTTAAGCAATATATAGTGTTTCAACTGCATAGTAGATTCATTGGGTTTCATACCAGAAACCATGTCATCAGTTACAATGGAAGAATTAGAAGTTAACAGTTGTGGAAAAGCTGGTTCTGCATCCGATAAGGTTTTGCTAGGCTGAGGAAGAAGAATTCAAACATTAGTGGGAAATGACTTGTGCTGATGTGGAATAATGCTTTAATATAATAAAAGCTTCCAAATAAGTTACCCTTGGCCTTTGCTCACAAGGTGTAACCGATCGATATTCAGGTCCTGGACACTTATGATCTGTGAAGAGAGTTTCGATCTCTGGTTCAAGCTGAGGATTCACACAATGCATATGCTGCCAGTTCAAGCTGTATATAAAGAGATGATATCAGCTCTTTGATAATATCCATAAAGGTATAACAAGGAAATTAAGATATTACCGGATGCAGTAGAAGAATGAAAGCAAAAGCATAAAACACTCAAGTTAATTAGATTATATGCAATTGGCGGAGTTTCAAATAGTCACCGCTCAGCTTAACAAGAATAAGCAGAATAACAGAAAAGAGAGAGAAGACAAAAAACAGTAAGACATTATTACCTTTGATTAATCAGACGGCGCAATCTTGACTTGTTTAATTCTGGAAAACGGAGTCTTCCCTTAAACTGGGGGTTTGATTCAATAATAAGCTTAAGTTCCCTCATCATGAGCTTCCTAGCAGATATTATGTCTCCATACTGAGCAAGCGGAGCATATTCTCTGCTCATGGAATTAATAATAATCAAGAGTTCTTGTTAGGCATCTTAATTATACAATTCAAGCACCTACAGTTAATCACAACCTGAAGTCATCCAAAGTCAGAAGCTGAGCCATCTCTTTATAAAGCTCTTCATTTGACGGGGCAAACACTTTAAGATCTTTCAGAAGGATGTCTAGAGCAGTTTTACGATCTTGCCTATCACCGGAATCAATAATACTGTATAAGATCTTTATTCTCGCAAAATTGAAAGTTACATCAGATTTCGGATAATCACAAGATTACCTGTCTAGTGCCTCGAGGTACTTTTGTTTCCTAATCTCGAAATACATTTTTGTAGAAAATTTGTTGTCACTGACACCAGTGAAACTTGAAAGATAATTCTCAGTCTCATCCCAATTGCCACTGAGCACGAGATGTTCAAAATGTTCCATGTCAAAGAAAAACCCTGTCTCCTGCTCTAACCTATTTCTCCAATTTTACAATTCCAATAAAAATACAATAAATAACTCTTATTCTGCTGCTGAATCCATTAAAAAAAAGATTAATAAACTCACATGTGAGCAGTTTTCGTGAGATTCTCCTCGTTGCAGAACTGTAATATCAAGAATATAAGGTCTTTACTGAGAGACATGGTCAACTGAGTTCTTTCTTCCCTTCAAAACCTTTCAGATAATTAGAGAGAGATCAGTAAGAAGCTCGTAAATGGACATGAATTTTGAGTGATCAAATAAAAGTTAAACTAACAGCAACAACAACAAACCCTGTATAGTCCCACAAGTAGGGTCTGGGGAGGGTAGTGTGTACGCAGACCTTGAAGGTAAAGAGGTTGTTTCTAATAGACCCTCGGCTCAAGACAAATGACAGTTAAACTAGACAAGTCAAAATCAAATGACCAAAAATGATACTGGATAATAAGCTGTTACTTGTTATACAAAAATCAACAAGGACAACATCAACGCCATTAAGATTGAAAAGTTCTAGGAATCAATTAATATATAGGCCTTTTCGTTGTTCGCTCTTTACTTCTGAAGTGAGTTTGGATTGTACAGGAAAAACAAATACAAACAAAATTGTCAACTTTCCTTCTACATGAAAATTAGCACAACAAGAAGATATCAAATTGTTTGTGAGAATATGCATGTATCTATGTAGCCAGAAATAGCAACTTAGAATTTAATCAAAACAAAAGATGCATCTGAAGATGCACTGAGAAAACAACACAAAAGATTAGAATCGATAATAACAATAATCAGCACTAAAAAAATCGCTTAATCCAATAATCCTCCCCTCTAATTCAACTCAATTCACCTCAAATCATCTCAATTGCACAAAATTCTGAAGAAAATTAAAGAAATCCGATTACAAAAATAACAAAAGATGAAGATTGGATCAAATACAATTCAGAGTCACCTTCCACTTCTTTTCTCAATCAAATCAAATTGGAAAAATAAACACGAAACCAAACGAATTAAAAGACTCAGGAAATTTTTGGAATTGAAAAAGACTGAAGAGTGGACCACAAAGCTTATTCTAGAATTGGTGAAAAATATCAAAAAGCTGCGCCTACCAACCTACCTATCTATGAACCTATGCAAAAAGCCCAGCAGCAACTGTGTAAAAGAATGAGGAAAGTTGGCGATACGTTTTAGTTATTTTATAGTCAGAAAGAGCGACTTGAGGTGAATAAGTCAGTTCACTTATTGATAAGTAATTCTGCTTATTATCATAGGGCAATATAACGACAAGAATTGTAGATTTTTGTTTTTGTAAAGGCGTCTTTTGTTTGGGTTTGAAATAGAATTGTTTATGTTTTTTTGTTTTTGAACTATTTAAAAAGAATCGAAACTAATGTAGAAAAAAGATCGAAAAATTCATGCCCCGTTTATTTAGAATTTTAGACCAAATATGGCACGTAAATTAGGGCTTTAAATTTTGTTCATTGTTAGTGGTCTAAAAGATTAGAAGCATCGAATGTGTAATTAAGGGAAAACTGTTTTCTCTGTATTTAAAGACTTGATTCGTTGTTATTACAATCAGTATTAGAATTAGCATGGCTTATTGAAGGAAAACATCGGAGCAAATTGTTGATTTTAATTGTTTGAACACATATTAGATCTAATAATATAATATTTGTGTCATAAAATCTCAACTGTCATTTTGCTTTATCGGGTTTTTTCTGGTTCTTTTATTTCATAAATATTGTTTTAGTCTTACTTTGTTAAAGTTATAGATAAAGTTTTGATAAATGAATATAAGTTTAGTAAAAATTAAAAAAACTGACAAATATTTGATATATTAAAGTATTCATTTGGAAGAATTTTCTTAGTAATACATGATAGTTATTTTCTTATTTAGATATACGCTTTCAAAGTTAATCGAATTTTATAATTAAACATAAAAATCAATATGATACCAAAATAATGATATGTTCTATTTACTTTTAAATTATCGAAATATCATTCCACATTCGAAAAGATATAAGAATTTAATAGATCTTAACATATGAAATATCGAATAACAAAAAGATTGATGTAGTTCAAAAACACTTCATAAGAAAGTAATGATATATAACCCATTAACACTATGTTTGGATCATTGTTATCCATCGTTTTATAATGTATTGTATTGTATCGTTTTATGGATAGAACGTTTGAATAGATTGTATCGTTTGTTGTTGTTAAATAACATTTTCTTATTTGGTTTGATTGTATCATATTGTACTGTAACTGATAAGTTCACTGAAATACCCTCAATTGTTTTAAATAATATCAAGAATAACACATAAAAATAATTTAAGACAACCTCTTCCTACTAATTTATGATTAATTATGTAGCTTGAAAACAAGAGCAAAAACCTGGGGGAAAAAAGGTTAACCAATATTAGCAACCAAAAAAAAAAAATTAAAACGGTGGAAAGAGACAAAGAATTGAACGGAGACTTTGCTAAAAAGAACGGGGCAAACCAACTCTAGAAAAGATGGAAGAAGACAGAGTAGGTCAATAGGTTGAAGATTTGGAGTTAAAATAAAATAAAAAAATAAAAAAATAGAATTATAAAGTAATAAGTAAGGGGATAATTGGAAAAGAAAATATGAAACGATCCCACCATACCAAATCGGTTGTTTCATAAAATAGGGCTTTTGGTTGTTCCGGAACAATGAATTTAGCAATACGATACAACCAATTTTAAATAAACAATCACAACAAATATTGTTTTAGGATAACAATACAATGGGTAACAACCATCCAAACAAGTTGTAAAATAAATAAAAAGGATGAGCTTCATAGTTATATTAAATATTACTGTACATCTCATGGGAGGACCCCAAATATTTCTAGACATTTTCTTAAAAATTTATATATATATATATATATATATATGTGTGTGTGTGTGTGTGTGTGTGTGTGTGTGTGTGTGTGTTAGTTTGGTTCGGTTTTACTCATACCAAACCAAATCAAACCAATTCTAATCGGACTTTTTAATCGGTTGATTTGACTTTTCAATTTGGTGCGTTTTTTCGATTCATTCAAATTCAAATGAAGGAAGAATGAGTTAGTAGTTTTAGAATGCCGAATCTCATCTAAGAGCCCATTTCGACATACAATTTTTTTTTATTTTTTTGAAATCAGTGTTTGGCTATTAAATTTTTCAATTTTTACTTGAAGATATATTTTGGAATTTTTTGAAAATTTGAAAAACTCAAAAAATTTATTTTTCAAAATTTTCACTCAGATCACTCACAAAAATTTAAAAATAACCCAAATTTATATTCATCTCCAAACACAACTCTAAAATTTTCAAATATCATTTTCACTTAATTTTTTTTTCTTTTTTTTAGGAATTTTACAATTCTTATATCCAAACGCCCACTAAGCATCACCTATCATTGACTTTATACATTCTAGTATCTATAAATAAGTGTAACCAAAAAAAATTGAAAATGAAATATCTTTTATCTATTATATCGACCTTTTTTCATCGAAAAATACTAACAGTATAATTTTATAGAAGAAAAAAATATTAAAAATGCAGTTCTTGCTAATCATACCAAAATTATCCAATTTCGACCTCAAATCGACCTTCAAACCTTCATTTTTTATTTTTGAAAGGTTTGCACAAAATCCCCAATTTCTTCTCTTTAATCTACTAATTTACATCTTAAAACAAAAATGGAATCATGATATAATAATAAATCCGAGTCAAAAACATTTACCCTGATCCAAGACATGAAAATTCTCTCCAAGATCGCCCAAAACCAAGCTCTACAACTCAAAATATGAAAATTACTCTAACCCTCGATTTGGAATTAAATATCTACTGCCTGTTCCTCTTCGCGATCGTAGAAATTCCCACGCGATTGCGAAGAACAAAACTTCACTACCCACCACAATGGTCTACACGACCGCAGAAACACAATCGCGAACGTGATGCTAAACCAACCTGACCCTTCGCGAACACGTGCACAACTACGCGATCGCATAGGCTTAAAGCCCGACTCTCCAGTTGACCACTCCATTAATTACTCGAACATGTGAACCCCAACGCAATCGCAATTACCTGAGACCTCAAAGCTTCGCGAACGCGTGCCAAGTATCGTGAACGCGATGAGTAACTTCCACCAGTTACCAAACAACCCTTCGCGATCGCGGGCTTTTCCTCACGATCGCGTATAAGGAAACTGGAACCAGATATAGCAGCAGTCCTACGAGTCTAAAAATGAGTCGAACATGATCCAAATCATTCCCGAGGCCCACAGGACCACATTCAAACATACCAACAAGTCCGAAAACACGATACGAACTTAGTCGAAGCCTCACATCAAATCAAAGAACACCGAAATCACAAATCACACCCCAATTCAAGCCAATAAACTTATTGTCACGACCCGGATTTCCCACCCTCGGGAGTCGTGATGGCGCCTGCTAATGTGATCTAGGCAAGCCAAACTTTTAATCTAAATACTTCATTAACCAATTATTTCTTTTAATAAATATAAGGCGATAACGTGATAACAGCGGAAATTCGATTTTAAGCGGAAGACAACAATAACATTTATGAAAACTATAACTATTACCAATACTTAAGCCTTAACCACCCAAAACCTGGTGTCACAGTGTCACAAACGGTCTAAGATTTGCTACATACAAGATCTGAAGAAATAACAGTACACTATTTCTGAAACTAGGAAAATGAAACAGGGAATGGAAGATAGAGGAGACGCCAGGGCCTGCGGACGCCTGCAGGTCTACCTTGGATCTCCGCGTGGACTGAAGGTAGCCAACTGATCTACTGTCCGAAGTCAACAGCACTGGGATCTGCACAAAAGAGTGCAGAGTGTAGCATCAGCACAACCGACCTCATGTGCTGGTAAGTGTCTAGCCTAACCCCGTCGAGGTAGTGACGAGGCTAGACCAGACTACCACATAAACCTGTGCAGTTCAAATATATACAACGAAAAAGAAATACAGAAGTAAACAAGTAAAGATGGGAGGGGGAAACATGCTTCGGGGAATAACAGGTAAAAACAGTATATCAAGAGAACTATAAAGGGATCAAAATCCAACCACTAACAAGAATAAGGAAACAAAAGCAGATTTCACTTTCTTTTCACATCTTGTTGCATGCGTGCAACCCGATCCCATTTCTCATATCTTGTGGCAGGCGTGCCACCCGCTCCCATTTCATGTATCTCGTGGTAGGCATACCACCCGCTCCCATTTCATATATCTCGTGGTAGGCGTACCACCCGCTCCCATTTCATATATCTCGTGGCAGGCGTGCCACCCGCTCCCATTTTATTATATCTTGTGGTAGGCGTACCACCCGCACCCATTTCATTATATCTTGTGGTAGGCGTACCACCCACTCCCATTTTATTACCAACAATAATCACAAGAAATCCCGGCAAGGGAACAATAATATCAAACAAACATCCCGGCAAGGGAGCAATGATATCTCAACAATATTCCGGCAAGGGAACAATAATATCAAACAAACATCTCGGCAAGAGAACAATGATATCAAACAGACATCCCGACAAGGGAACAATGATGATAATAACATGTGAGGCACAATAAACCACAACAGAGTCATAACAATGTATGACACAAGACTCACGGGCATGCTTGACACCGACGTATATATACTCGTCACCATGCCTATACGCCGTACTCCACAATTAACACGTAGCAAATAGACACAACTCATAATCCCTCAAGCTAAGGTTAGACCAAACACTTACCTCGATGCCACGAACACAATTCGCGATTCAATTATAGCTTTACCTTTTGATTCCACCGCCAATTCATTCGTATCTAGTCACAAGTTACTTAATTACATCAATAAACGCTAAATGAATCAACCCCAATGCATAAAAATGAGTTTTCCAAAGTTTTACCCAAAAAGTCAAAATTGCCCCCGGGCCGACATGGTCAAAACTCGAGGTTCGAACCAAAACCCGATCACCCATTCCCCCACGAACTCAAATATATAATTTATTTTGCAATCGGACCTCAAATCGAGGTCCAAATCCCCAATTTTTGAAAAACG